ATTAAATAATTATACTATTTAAATAATTTCTATGATTCATTTATTCCAATATATTTCTGATCGAATGAAAATTTCTTTTAGAACTTTATACGTATCCGATTCGATGCAATATTTTCTTTTCACTTTGTTGCGTGTCTTTACTTTAATGTATCCTGACAAATTTAATTGTCTTGTTATATATATTATATACAACAATTACGTCTCACGATCTTTTGTTTCTTTTTTTTTTTATACATTACTTTTCAATAACAAGTCATGTATCATATATATATATATATGTATATATATAAAAAGTAAGTATTATTTCATTAATTAATCATATTTATATTATATTATATTATATTATATTATATTATATATATACATATATATATATAATATATATTATATAATATATATAATATATATATAAGTGGCAGTAGCATTTTTTGACAATATACTTCTGCTAAATAATAAAAGCGTTATATAATATAATTAAGAAAGTCAAAGAGATTTTAACTGATAGGAATATTAACATTTCGAACAATTATATATACAATCTTATTAATTCCTTTCAGTAATTATCATTCGAATGATTTTTGTAGAAATGAATATACAATAATGTTAATTATTATATTACTATTATTTATTACGATTTATTATTATTATTAGTATTATTATTATTATTAGTAGTAGTATTACTGCTATTATAAGAATGACCTCTTATATCGTTAAATATAATACAAATATATACTTCAAATTTTATCTTAAAAGAAAAAAATACTACAGTCGTTAAATATACAATAATCCTGTGTGCATTGAAAATGAAAATTTGTTAATATTTGGATAATCGTCATTTTCTTTTTTTTTCTTTTTTTTTTTCTTTTTTTTTTCAAGAAACTATCATTTTTGTGCAGTACTATATAAATATACAATTTCATTTCAATATAAATGTTTAATTCGAATAATTAATTCTTCGTAATTATTATTATTCTCTAACATTTCTATAAAATCAAGATATCTATTTTTTGAAATAAATATATGTGCAATAATGTCATCCAATAAATGTATGTATAATATATAGATATTATATATACCATTTTTTTTATTTTTCTTTTTTTTTTTTTTTTTTATTATTACTATAAACCTATATTTTCATATTGACAAATATTAACAATAAAGAAGTTGAAAATTTTATTAAGTATATTCCTATTTATAAGCACAAATTAATTCGCTCGATAATGATAAACAACACTTCACATTTAAATTTAGGTCGCTTTCATTACGTTTTTCTATTATTGCGTTAATCCTCGATGATGGTAATATCATCTTCTGTAGAATTATTTAAATTCTCAGTAGAATTTGTTTCATTAACAATTAATGAATTTATAACGGTCTCTATCGCCTTTTTTACGTCTAAATTTTGTGTTTTAGGCAATATGTTGCATGTTATTTTTGTATGTGCTTTTTCAACTTCTGTATTTATATCTCTATTATTAATTGAAATTTTCTCTACCCTGAGATTATTCGGAACAGGTTTTGGAAGTGAAAGTATCAATTCTGTTTCTGGTACATTATTCACAGTTTTTGCTTTACGATCTTTCTGGTCATTTAATTTAGTAGATTTGCTTAAATTAATGGATGGAATTTCATTAATTAATATTTCTGGACTACTTGAATCCATCTCCATACCTGTAAGACTTTCTAAAACTTCGTTCGATGAGTCATCTATTTCCATTCCATGATCTTCAATATGTTGTAAATAAAATATAAATTGTTCTTGATATTTGCCAAAATGTTTATTTGGTGTAATTATAGGCTGTAAATCACTGTTATTAGTTGAAGGATTATTATTGGCTTTCATTAAAATTGAATGACCAATTGTTTTTTCATAATCCTTTGATTCAAAATTAAACACTTGTACTGACTTATCCGTATAAAGAATAGAAGAATTTCCGACACCTTGATTAACCATTCTTTTCTTTTTGGAAAATGTTTCAAAAACATTAGTTGAAAGAACAAGTTCAGATGGTTTCATAATTGTTACAACATCCTCATTGTCAGATTCTGCAGTAGAATCAGATACACAAGTCATATCAAGTGGTATTTTATTAACATCTTCCAATGGTAATGCTCTAGAAATAGATTTTTCTATAACTTTATTTTCCCTATTGTGAGATCTTTCCCAACTGCTGTAGTCTCGTACTATCCTGTCATTAATATACGCTAGTTGCGTTACAGTGTTACAAATTTCATTATAAAGAGAGTGAATTTTAAATTGTGCTTCTTGTATAATATTCGTACTTGTTTTTTCATTTCGTGTATCTTCAAGTATTTGATGAAATTTAATTTTAAGATTATCTAAGATATAATTAAATGGTTCTTTATATGGAAGAAATACAATTTGACTAAAGTTCTTTTCACTTTTTTTTATATTTGTATACAATTCGCGCAAAGGCTGTTCTCTTACCTCATTTATGTTTGTTCTATTATTACTACAACTATTATCCGTACTCACAAGTGCTACAGGTACAGCTATCGTTGATTGTGAGTCAGCGTTAACTGTAGTATTCTTATTAAGAGGCATATTTTGAGAATTCATCGATTGAATGGCTGATGGTTCATCAGAATCACTATCCAAATTTATAACATTTGGTGCCATCATCATTTGTACTACTTTTTTTGGTTTTGGTAGTAAAACTCGAGATCTGTTTAACATTATGTGGTGTTTTTGATTTGGTATAGTTACCATTTGTGTTGCAGGATAATACGTAGTTTGAAACGAATTTTTTCCCTGAACTCGTGAAGCTATTATAGTATGCATTGGCTTAAATGCAGCTGTGGATTGCAGTAATTTTACAGTGGGAACTGCGTTGATAGTAGAATTATATACAGTTGTCTTTAGATTGGGTGAATCAATCTTCTCTTTAGTGGTTTGATCAGATCGCGGAGATAATGCATTTTCCTGTGTTTTTATTGGAACAGTCGTAACTAATGTACCTGAATTTATAGTAGCGTTATCATTTTTGATATGTTCATCAGAACATAATGATGTGCTTACTTCAGGAGACTTTGAACTATTTTCAGTGGACGAAGACAAACATTGTTTTATAGGTACCAATCTTGGAATAGTTCCATTAGATATAGTTATCCTTCTATGCTTGTATTTTCTTTTTAATGATCTACGCTTTGCTGTTATTGGTTCATTACTAAGATTAGGATCATACGTTTCATCCTCGTCTTCAGAATTAGATCCATTCCTTCTACGTTTACGCTTTCTTCTACGTGGACAACATTCAGACTCATCTAAATTCATTTTTTCTTCTATATCTTCTGGTGACATTCCTCTATCATTTTGTAATATTCTACAAAAATATAACCAATAGATGTAATAAAACAATCAATATATAAAAATAATATTAATTGTTTTAATAGGTATTATAATAGAAAATTATAATACCTTGTAACCGTTTGTACATGCTGTAACAAAGCCCAACATGTTGCTCTAGCAGTATATAAATCCACTGGATTGCATACAAAACATTTCCATTTTTCATCGGCCTCAATCTTTTTTCTTACTAAAGAATCAAAATTTCTTTTAATACATTTATAACAAAAAGTATTACTGCAATAGGAACAACAATATAAATTGCCGCCATTTGCACACCATCTACAAAACATGTCAGTAGCATCATCTCCTAAAACAATATGTTTATAACCATTTAAATTTGCTAATTAATAGATATAACATATAACATATGCACCCATATTAAAGAATACCTTGTTCAAAAGTACCATCCCCATAAAATTCTCTACACTTAGCACACAACAATGTATGCAATACAGGATGTTCTAACATATTATGAGCTTGTGCTGGTGCAGAACCAATATGAACATCACATGCCGTACAATGAATTTTACGAAATCTTACTATAGAAATATCTATAGAAAAGGAATAATAATTTATTGATTTTGGAATATCTTATATGATGATAATAATAACAATAATAATAATAATAATAATAATAATAATAATAATAATAATAATAATAATAATATTAATAAAGTTGGAATATTTATAAATGTACAATATTCCATAATATCACAATAATAATTCTATCCATTAAGATTAATAGAATAAATGATGAATATAATAAAATTAATAGAGACTAGAAATTGACAAATCATACCATTTCCGAACATAAGTTCATAAAAATTATTTTCTTCTTGAGAAATCTGTGGTGGGGCAATGGTTACAGAGGGAATTAAATCCTTCGGTGTAACTAGAAAACGTAAGCTAGGTTAGTCTTCGAAATTCATATCATAGGTGACACACGTTTTAATTTTTTGATAATCCTACCGTTCTCCTTACTGTCAACCTCTTTTACTTCGTCTACTTGTACTTCGAGCATTGCTGAGATGTCCATATCGATAAAATGTTATATGATATTATCTTGACTGGACCTTTCAAAACACATTCTGTAGCAACGCCATTTTCTTATGTGGACATACCGGCCCAGGGCCCGTCCAGAACAAGCGGACCACAAGTTAATTATGCCATAATATTTTTTATTATTTTTAAATTGATTAAAAATCATTAAAATATTTGTTCCTTTCAATGAAATTTTTCGTTCAATTAATATATTTTTTATCCTTAAAAAAATATTCTTATTCTTTCTGCGTATCGAACCGACTTGGATTTTAAAAAATTTCCCGCTCGATATTACTACCAATGGTAGAGAAATCGTTTCCTTCATTATATATCGTTACTCGAATTATTACCAAATCTCGATAATAACGATTTATGTCGTGTGATCTTCAATCGATATAATAATTTCGAGTATTGATTGTACAAATTAACATTAAAATTGTACCCTGTAAAATGTTTAAACAATTATATTAAATAATGATTTTATTGACGAAATTTTTATGATATTTCTAGTATTTACGATATTTATAATATTTTTGTTTAAAGGATTATTTTTAAAAAGTTTCGTACTTTTTTTTTAGGTAAGTTAAAATATAGAAATCATTTCGTTGCGATGGCGGGAAGGTTTGTTTACAAATGGCGTTTCATTAATTCATCATGGCAATCTGATAATGTAAAATACGTATACATATAAAGGAGATAATGATGGAGAAGTCAAAGGAAAATTTCTTAGAAAAATCTGCTGAAAAATTAACGAAAAATGTACAGAATATGGCCAATTATCGAAGTCTTTATAATGAAATTCAAGTAAGTATTACGTGCATGTACTACATGCATCAATAGAATTCATTATTTTGTTAACCTTTTTTCTACATTATTTTTAGAGACTCGTTGCTTCGACTGTTGTAAAAAAAAACGATTTTGAAAATACTCTGATCGATGCTCTCAAAGTAAATGGATTAGAAACACAACTTAGAAATACTGTGTTTCATTGGGCACGATCGCAGGTGTATATATATATATATATTTATTTATTTATCTATTTTATAGCATTGCTATTTTGCTTATAGTGTTCAATCTTTAATTGCAATGATTTTTATACGATTTTATTGACATAGGATTCATTAAGATCAAAGCCAATACATCTCACTGAAAATGCTGATTTGATTTACTTGAAAAAAGTTCAAATTCAATGGGAACGTCGTATTCAAAAATCTTTAAATTCCATGTGCAGTGAATTGAATGTTCCATTAGCTCGTATAAGACCCAATGCAGATAGAGAGGAACTTGGTGAAAAATGGAACGAACTTAGTACTTACGATATCGGTAAAGAAAAAAAAAGAAAAAAAAAAGAAATAGAAATAAAAAATTTCATTTTTATTAATAATCAATATCATTTTTAAAATAATAATCGAATTGTTTCTATAGATTTGTCTCAATATAGGCCATTATATGCTCCAAAAGATTTTTTAGAAGTATTGTTTTCTATACGAGATCCAGCCTTTAAGAAACATCCGTACGTATATATAAAAAAAATTAAATAAATAATTAATCTATTAAAATACATTTTGATATTTTTTTTAGCGAGGAATTAAATTGGGATTTTAGTCATATACAAATTCGTGTAAGAACACTCGCAGAACTGGTATGTCTTTTTTTTTTTTTTTTTTTTTTATTAACATTGTAAATAATTAATGTGCGCGTGAATTGTTATTAACATAAATTATATTTTATAAATGTCGACAGAGATGTTTGTACGTTGAATTAGCTCAAGGCATGCCTTTGCTCGGTGTTAATCCTGATATGCCTGCTGCAGGAAATTTTATAAATTTAGAAGCTGAAAGAACTCATCTCGGTGAAAAAGTATTAAGTACAAATTATGCGCCAATCGCTCAAGAATTTTTAAAAAGAGGAGCACCACGTGCTTTAAGAGGACGTCTCTGGTCTCTCGTTTTAGGATCAACCATTAAAGACAACGTACGTCTCCAAAAATTTTAATATTTATATTTAAAAAAAAAAAAATAATTTCAGATATATTTTAGGACATCGAATATTACGACGAATTGAAAACTATGGTCTTACAATATGATATCGTTGTTGATAAATTAATTATAAAGGTAATGCTAAATAATTAATAAAAAATTAATTATATAAATTATTTTTTATATTTTGTATATTTTAGGATGTACAATTAACAGCAAGTAACGATGATCAATATTTCGTTTTTGAAGATGTTCTTTATAAAACAATGCTGTGTTTTTCAAGGGACTCGGAAGTATTAACTCCGGTTACTACCGACAGAAGTGCAGGTGGTCAAGTGATACATGCGGTTTTACAAGGGAAACCTGCAACCCTAGAAAATACTTTAGTATTCCCTCCAAGTGGTGTTATACCATTCCATGGATTTACGATGTATGGTAGGGATTATGGATTATTGATTCAATTATTAAATTAATATTTGTTATTTTCTAATAAGTTTCATAATAATGAAAATAATGTTTTGATACTTTCTATGAAAAAAAATTGAATTCAATTTTTATATTCTTTTTTTTTTTTTTTTTTTTTTGTTTTGTTTTGTTTAAAGCCACTCCTTTCTGTTATTTGTACGATGACCCATGCATCATGTATTATACTTTTCGAGCATTTTATCTACGTTATTGGTTTCGTCTTCACACAGTTTCGAGTCATGAGCAAGGTATAGTTGCATTATGTTTATTATTTGAAAGATTATTACAATGTCATGAACCACTGTTATGGGCCCATTTTAAGAACATACATCTACAACCGTAAGTTTTCTATATTTTTTAATTCATTTTTATTCCATTTAATTATATTATTCATTTATACATGATTTTATTTCTTTACAGAATTAAAATAGTATTCAAGTGGTTGATGAGAGGTTTCAGTGGTCATTTACCACCCGAGCAATTATTATGTTTATGGGATTTAGTATTAGGATATGATTCTTTAGAAATAATAGCTCTTCTTGCAGTGACGATTTTAAGTTTTAGAAAAGAAAATTTGATGCAGGTCAATAATCAGCACAACGTAGAAGTAAGAAATTAATATGAATATATTTTTTATAGAGGAAAAAAAATAAATCAATGTTATCGTTCATAAATTTTATTTTTATGTTTTTCTTTTTTGTTTTTCAGGCAATTTTAGCGGATTTATCATCATTAAAAGTAATACCGTTGTTGCAATTAGTCTTATTGAAAGAATAATTAGATCGTTCTTATTGAAATCGAAGAAAAAATAATATCATAAAATTTATACAAAATTTTAATGACTTTCGAAACGCCTGTAGATCTACAACCCGTTCTACATGTAAACGAAAAAGCAAATTGTCAAGAACGTTAATAATTTGTTGGTTACGTGATAGTATTTATAATCAATTATTATTGATATAATCATATGTGTGTATATATATATATATATATATATGTATATATACATATATATATATATATATATATACTCTGTTTTGAATTATCTACATGACAACAAGAACATATGTAAACTCATTGAGAGGGGAGGACATGCCTGTTTCCGGCCAATGGAACACGATCGAAACTACAAGCTACGCTTACACACGTACTCGCAAGCAGATTCACAATGACGTCATCGTTAGAATCGTATAATAAAGCAGTTTTAAGCAATTAACAATTATCCTCGTTTACTATATACAATTTTGTGAGGAATTAATTTATAATTATCGTTTAGATCTATTTGCCATATATAAGAATTTATTTGCAATTTAATTTTCCGTTTATTTTAATTTTAATTAAAAAAAAAAAAAAAAAAAAAAGAAAAAAAAAGGAAAAAATATTTTAAAATATAAATTTAATATTTAAGAATTTTAAATGTAAAAAATTGCTTTTCGAAAAAACATTTGAAATGTACAATTTGCATATATCGATATTCGATTCTCGAATGTATAACTTGGATGACGTCGATTCTCGGATGCGCGAACTCTCTCTAAAAACCTTTGTACTAGTGGAGCATACCCTGTAGTGTTCGTGCGATGCACGAAACCAGAGACGCCTACTTGCTATCGTCAATTGTGTTTATATAGTCCGTTCACTAACTATCGCATTCTCTCTCACATCAGTTTTAGTGGAAATTTATCGCTGGTCTAGTGTAATAATCGATAAATTGTAAGTAATATTAACTCTCTTAATGTAAATGTAATTGTTCTTAAATGATATTTAAAGCTACGTGCGTTCTCGTAGTTCTTACCGTGTAGAATTGTAGCTATTAAGGGTGGGGTGGTTTTCACCCCCAAATTATTAGTCATGCTCAACTTTGCGCCACCGTCGATCGTCCTTGGTGTTAGCGTTAGTTCCGTATAATTCGACCACTATTCATAACTCTTTTTTTTTTATTATTATTATTCTTTTAAACAAGATAACGAAAGCGGCAATAAGTCTTGTTAATCGTAGCACGTCGATCACCGCCCATTGAGGCAAAACGACGGAACATCTGGATCGTGTGTCTTATCGAATATCATAAATATACTTCCGTTTTTTGCATTGATAATAATGATTTGTGAACTCATAGATATAATAGAAAATAAAATAGAGAGTATTAAAGTATTTTTATTTTTTTTTCAATAAGATAATTCTCTCTTCAGGCTTGCATTGTTCCCATTAGATTACATGATTTAAGAGGAATACAATTTGAAAAGAATTTAAGGACAACATCAAGATGGCTTGGCGTTTCAAAGCATCAAAATATAAAAATGCCGCACCTATTGTACCTAAACCGGAAGCATGTATTCGAGATATCTCTGTAGGATCATATCAGACTTATGGGAACAATATTACAGCATCGGCTGCATTTATGGCATTTAATGTGGATCACAATGGTACTTTCTCAGAAAGTAATAAGTTATACATTATATGCACTTTTGTTGTACAATGTTATCTGCTTTTTGTAGGATCTAGTTTGGCTGTATTACCACTTGAAGATTGTGGTAGGAAAAGTAAAACTATGCCATTGTTACATGCTCATGCTGATACTGTAACTGATATGGAATTTTCACCTTTTCATGATGGCCTACTTGCTACTAGTTCGCAAGATTGTTTGGTAAATTCAGTGAAATTGATTGATGTTATGTGCTCTATTTTTTTTTTACCTTTGTGCATTCCAATAACATTATTTTGTTATTTATTAGGTAAAGTTATGGCATATTCCAGAAACTGGATTAGAAGAATCTCTTTGTAATCCTGAATGTACATTTTCTCATCGTCAAAGAAGAGTAGAAGCAGTATGTTGGCATCCGGCTGCTGAACATCTTCTAACAACTGCCTCATATACAACTTTAACTCTTTGGGATGTACTTTCTCAACAAGAATTATTCTGTAATGGAAACATCTAATTATTAAAATTATAATATTATTTTATAATACTTTGTCTAAGATTTAGAATATTTCTATTATTTTGTAGCTAACAGTGATCATACCGAAGTAATACAATCATTAAGCTGGAAACAAGATGGCACTATTTTGGCAACATCTTGTAAAGATAAACAAGTGCGAATTATTGATCCCCGTGCATCAACTTGTATTGTTAATTTCTGCTCAAGTCATATGAGTATCAAGGATTCTAGGATTGTATGGTTAAATAACTCTGATAGAATATTAACTACAGGATTTGATGCAGCACGTCTTAGACAAGTATACATAAGAGATTTGAGGCATCTTAATGAACCAGTAAAGACATTGGAATTAGATTGCAGTACTGGGTATGAATCAATTGTAATTAAAATAAATCAAAGCATAGAACAGTTACTGAAGTGTACTATTTCATTTTTTAGGATTTTGATGCCTCTTTTTGATCCTGATACAAATATGCTATTTCTTGCGGGTAAAGGAGATACTACTATCATGTACATGGAAGTGACAGACAAAGATCCTTACTTGGTAGAGGGAATTCGTCATAGTGGAGAGCAAACTAAAGGTGTGTGTCTGGTTCCAAAAAGAGCACTCAATGTCATGCAAGCCGAAGTCAACAGATTATTGCAACTCACATCTAATATGGTTATTCCTATCATGTATCAAGTACCTAGAAAGGTAAATTTTATTTTTATGTAATAAAATACAAAACTCATTATATCATATATTTTTCTAATTTATTATATTTATCTTTTAGACATATAGAGACTTTCACGCTGATATTTATCCTGATACAAATGGTTGTATCGCTCAGAATAATGCAGCAGCATGGATCAAAGGCCATAATGCACCTGTTCCAAAGATATCATTAGATCCTGCCAAAAGAAGCAAAGGTGAAGATCCCATAACTGTAAGTAAAAATTTTTCACACAAATTTATGTGTCATTTAATATATTATTATAAAAAAACAAAACAAAAAAACTGTAGAATATACATTTTAAGATTAAATATCATCTCATTTTGTATAAAGCATTCATTTTTTCGGAGTACGCATGTTTTTCAATGCTTCTGTATGCCTGTATTCACATATAGCTAAATCTTTAAACAAACAAGAGAAATGTGTTGATGACTTTATTATATTTTATGGAAACACATGCTTTTAGAAATATATTATTATTATAAATATTGCTGAATGTTTTCATCACGTTTATAAAAAAGAAAAAGGAACATTTATTTTTTTTTAATTATGAGAAAATATATTTTGCGTTTGCTATATAACAAAATTATTTTGCTGTGTGACTTGTATTTCTTGTATAATTTATTTATTTTTTATATTGCAACATTCGTGTAAATATAGCAAGATAATTTATAAATTACATTAGGTGTACAATGTATATAATTAATAATTACTTTAATACTTTAATTACTTTTTAATATGTACAGTGCTATATTTACATTATTAACAAGTTTTTAAATATAGTTTAGGTATTTCAAGGATTAATGGACATATATGCATATATATATATATATATTTATACATATATATAAAATAATGTATATATATATATATATATATACACATATATAAATCAATTGTATGTTCCCAGAATATGCATACGTTATTTTTCTTTTCTTTCATTTCTCTTTTTATATTTTTTGTATATTTTTCATATTTCAGATATCCAATGTATATTTTATAGTTTATACATTAGCACTATTGAAAGTGTTATTCCTGGCACGTGTTATTGTAATGGCAATAGATGTTCTATAGCTTAATCTATCAGCGTAAGTAATATTAAGTTCGCGTAAAATAAGTTATGTATTTTTATTTTTTAGTTTTAATTATTTTCTATATACATATTCAAATACATACATAGAGTAGTTTGATAATATAAAAACTAGATTAGTTTGTATTTTTTATTTTGTTTCTGCTATGAAGTAAAATAGACAGAATGGTTTTGTGTGTATATATGAGAGAAGCTTGTAGATATTATATATATAAACATATATATTTATATAGTATATAACTCTTTATGTAAACGCAAATTAGAAACTATGCAATTGGACAATCAAATTTGGTTTGACTAGTTTGCGTCATTAAGGAATTTACCGTACCTTTAGGTACACAAAGGAAATTTAGCAACACTGAAAGAAAATCAAAACGAAATTAAAGTGGAACCAATCAAGTCTCCAAAATCAATAACGATTGCAACACCAAAAGGATTCTGTAAAGCTCAAGGTATCAATCATGAAAAGGAGAAGAACATAGAGAATGATATCGAGAAGACAGAAGAAAATAAAAAGATTGAGATAGAAGATGAGAAGATAAAAATGCAGAACGGTGGACAAACGATACCACCGAAGCCTCTACCCAGAGCATCAAGAACCAACAGCGTTTCTGAGGATGAACCTAAACCTGTAGCACGACCTCGCACATCACCGAGTCCAGGATCCGTCGTTACATCTGTAAATCCAAATTCGATCAGCGGATACAAGGTTGTAAATTAGTTGTATGAAACAAAAGAAAAGAACAAAAAAAAAAAAAGAAAACAGGCGTTACTTTTGTATGTGTGATTTCAGTGTGTGTTTTCAATTACATACTTTGCCATTTCTTTTCACATTTCATCATTTTTTTTAACACATGTCATATATCTTAATTATTAATGTCATATCATATTTTATATATAATCGTTCATCATGATTTCAACTGTAGATATATATTAATATTAAAAAAAAATTTTGTTTCTTTTTAATATTAATTTATAATGGAGTAGAAAATTTGTTTAATTTTATTTGTACAACAGACGATTAATATATATATATATATATTTTTTTTTCTTTTCCTTAGCCGCGGCTTGGACCAAAACCATTTCAGGCAAAATCTGGTAGTCAGGAATTCTCTTTCGATAAGGTCTTTTCTGTGCCGGTTGCACCGAACAATGATACAAATGGTTATCCAAATGATATCAGTATACCATTGGATAATACTACCGACCCAGAAAAATCACCAACGTTTTCTAACGAACGTATGAAGGAAGCAGAAAATGGAAAAAGTGATTCTAGCTCATTGGAAGAGGATGCAAATTCAAGTGACTCCGGATATAAACCAAAAACACCGAGCACCGCAGAGAGACGAAAAGTTTTTGAAACTAAAGTTAAGGATGAATCGCCTGAAAGTGAAGACATAGGAGGTTTTGAACGTGGTAATGTTAATAGAAACTCAATCGCAGAAAGGCGACGTTTGTATGAAAGTAGATCTGTATCTGTAACTGATGGAAATTTAGCCGAGAAAGCAATGGGATCGCCGACCATGTTACGAAGACGAGATTCTTTCAAAACTAAGAGCGAGGTAATTAAAGAGGATGATGTTAAGAAAGTCGTTCCAATGTTACGCCAACAAAGTATGGATCCACGTTTGGAAAAGGTTGAACCAATTACAACACCAACTCCTAAAAGAACATCGACAGTATTTGGTATAAAATAATATATGAAACGATTTCGTTAAATATATTAAAATATTCGAACTTTATATCAAATAATAAAATTTCAAGTATCTAGAACTAATTTTTTTATTTATAGGTCGAGTATCAAAATTCAGACATCTTAAAGGTACACCTGGTCATAAATCTACTCATATTGAAAACGTAAGAAATATTAGTCGACAGATATCAGGAGAATGTGATGGTTTTCACGGTATGTATATGTGTGTGTGTGTGTATGTTAGAAACTTTCTTGTGTGATATAATTGTTAAATAAACTTAAAATATGTGAAATAAATTTTAGCCAATTCTGATCGCGTTGCTGTTCCTCTAAGTGGACCTGGAGGGAAAATAGCAGTATTAGAATTAAAGAAAACTGGTAGATTGCCTGATGGTGTTATGCCAGCATTAGTTCATGGAGCAACAGTGATGGATTTCCAATGGGATCCTTTTAACAATCAGCAATTGGCAGTCGGTAAAGTGAAGATAAAAAATTTCATTTAATATTTAATAATAATAAAAAAAATAATACAAACAATAATTATTTATTATTCAGCATGCGATGATGGCATGATCAGACTATGGGAAATACCAGAATCTGGATTGGCAGAGCCAACAAATGAACCGAGTCACGTGATAGAAGCTCATGCTGATAAGATTTATTTAATAAAATATCATCCTTTAGCATCTGACGTGCTCGCATCAGCATCGTACGATATGACAGTAAAACTTTGGGATTTATCACCTTTAACATCAGAAGAATCAGCCATCCCAAAAATAACATTGTTAGGTCATACAGATCAAATATTTAGTTTAGCATGGTCACCATGTGGACAATATCTTGCTAGTGCATGCAAAGATGGAAAATTGCGAATTTACAAGCCGAGATCCAGTGACGTGCCTATAAAAGAAGGAAAAGGACCAGTAGGTACTCGTGGTGCAAGAGTTATATGGGCATTGGAAGGCAGATACCTTGTTGTAATGGGTTTTGATAAGTATGTCGATCATTATACTCTTTCATTTTGATGTCCATAATATACAATATTACTATCATTTTTATTTTTCTTCAGGGTCTCTGAAAGGCAAATAATGATATTTAAAACTGATAATCTTAACCAACCTTTGAATACAGTTGGATTAGACGTTTCTCCTGCGATTTTGATGCCATATTACGATGAAGATAGTTCTACTTTATTTTTAACTGGTCGCGTAAGTTCATCTCTATTTTCCTTTTATTTATATTTTAGATCAAAGATTAGATCATTGTTATATTGGAAATATATTCTCAGGGCGATTCTACTATATATGCTTTCGAAGTTACGGAAGAAGCTCCTTATTGTTGTCCTTTGAGCCATCATCGATGCAGCAGTTTGCATCAAGGATTATCATTCCTTCCTAAGAATAGATGCGATGTCGCAAGTGTTGAATTTGCATCCGCTTTAAGGCTGACAAATAATACCATCGAACCATTAAGTTTCACAGTACCACGTATAAAAGTACTTTGAATATTTTTGATGTTTAACAAAAAAAAATATATATATATATAAATCATCATATAATTAATAATTATTTTTCTTATAATATTTAGAGTGAATTATTCCAAGATGATCTTTTTCCACCAACAAAAATTACATGGAAAGCAGCATTAACTGCCGCTGAATGGTTCAATGGAATAAATAAACAGGCCTCTAGAATAAGTCTTAAACCACCTGGTATGGATAACTGTAAGTATAATTATTTACTTACAAATAATACATAATTGTATAATATACAATAAATATCTTGTTGTATTTATAGTGACAGAAAATCAAGGACAACCAGCAGTTACTACTATGCCATCTGCAACAAAACAATCAACAGGCCCATTTTCAATCTCTTCACAACCATTCAGTAGGCTTGGCTGGAATACAGATGTAAGAGCAAAGCAAGAGGAAGTAAGTTAAAATTCAATTTAAATTGTATTTAATCTGCATGTATATTTTTGAAAATCACACATTGCCGAATGATTTATAATGATGATAGTAGAATCACGTGTAGTTATGTGTGTTTGTCATGAAGAATTACAGGCATGTTATAAAATATATATTTTCATTTTAAAAGATTAAAATATATATATATATATATATATATATATATATATATATCAATAAGAATACGCGTTCTCTCGTCACATACTGAGCAAATATATTTTTAGTTACTTTTTGTCTCAGTGTATTGCATAATGTGTGTTGTGGTAGATCCAAAAAACAATGAGCAACAATGTGGGGGATGTAATACAGTGCTCTTTGGAACAAGACCACATGGAGGGTGTGGAAGAGCACGAATGGGTAGGTTCATCATTTGTTGCTATGCATGCTATTAATTATTTTAAATTATTTTATTTGATTTGCTTTGATATTTCAATACTTAGCATATTACAAAATAGATGAGAAGGAGAATTTATAAGAAATATTATATTACATGAGAAAAAAAAAAGCAATATTAGTTTATTTGTATATTTTGCTTGCTATTCTCTCCCTCTCTCTCTCTCTCTCTCTCTCTCTCTCTCTCTCTCTCAAGAAATTTGCTATTTCATTTATATTTTTTATATTAGAAGTTATTATTATAGAAATTAGTTGTGCTGTATTTCTGCTTTCCTTTACTTCCAATTTATTCTTTGCTAATTAATTAAATTGTCTCATTTCATTTTCATCTTACGTGATATTAGTATAATGGCACAAAATTATTTTTTATATTACAGGATGAGTAAGAAATAATGACGTACTGGTAGAGTATTTTAACTAAATGGTAAGATAGGATCTAGATATAGATATTTGAGCCATAAGTTATTAATTATGTTGAGAATGGAAAGGATGTGTCCTAATGTTACTACATGTTGGACAGAAGACGTTTTACATTTTGAGAAGTACTTCCAAAGATTTACCTTCTAAGAAAAGACAAAATAATGTGTCCAATTTTTTAAGTTAACACTATTACGTATTTTTTAACCATTTTATATACAAACAATTTTATAAACATATAAAACGTAAAATTCCATGAAATAGTGTAAATATTCAGGCTTTGTATTTGAAGTTGAAGAAAGAAAAAGGAAAACAAAAAAAAAACAAAGGAAACGACTGAAATTTATAAAAGTCACAGAACTATAAAACTTTTGTAAATCTCGAAGGATTTTTCATAAATTATAATTTTCTTTTTTATTTCTATGTTTATTTTTTATTTTTTATTTTTTATATAGGAGATGCGTGATGATACTTCTAGTCTTAAATAATTGTTTTTTTGTTTTTGTTTTTTTTTTATTTCATTTTATTTTATTTATATGTATCTCATGCTGCATATGATTATTATTGATATTGTAAAAAAAAAAAAAGAAAAAAAAAAAGAAAACAGTATCATACACAAACAATAACTTGATTATTATGAAATAAGTGGAAAAATTTTGTCAAGAAGTAAAGATGATTTTGAATTTAAAAAAAAAAAAAAAAAAGAAAGAAAAAAAAGTTAATGTGAAAATTTTATTATTCGCTGACGCGATAGATTTTAAAAATCATTATTATTAAATAAGATATTTAAAAAAAGAAAAAAGAAAATGAGTTAATACACACACACGCACATACACATATATTATCCTAAATGCAGAATGAAAGATATCGATTAATAATTCTGTTGTATTTATATATAAGATTATTATAATTACGATGATTTAACTTATATACCGATGAAACGAACGCGCAAAATAACACGTGCCATTGATAAAGCCAAGAGAAAGATAAACTTTCATTGACTAGTGATAATAAAAAAAAAAAGAGAAAAAAAAAAGAAAGAAAGAAAGAAGAAATAAATAATAATAATTATTATTATTAATCCCTGCAAAACAAATATTAATTAATATTTTAGCCAATACACACAATGATATTGGTATTAACAATGATTTTTCTAGAAAAATGCAATATAACATTTTTAATTAGAGAAAATTAAAATGAGAAATTTATAATTATCACAGAGAATGTTAGAAAAAAAAAAAAGAAAAAAAAAGGAAAAAAAGAGAAGAAAAAGAGAAAGAAAGAAAGTAAGTTTTCGTCATGGAGTTGTCGTAAATTTTTGCACGTTTTTGCAACTTCGTACGCGTACGCACACATACGAAATACGTTTTAAGAAAAAAATAAATAGTTAAGGAAGATATACGTATCAAGTATTAAATGATAATATTTAGTAACTTAATCATAAACAATAACAACAATGAACAACAATAAAAAGGAACATGAAAGATAGAGAAAAAGAGAAAAAACAATGGAATGATTTGATATCAGCTAATTACAGTTTTTTTTTCTTGTACATCTCTAAAACGTGGTAAAATCGTAACTTTTATACACTTTGTATCTCGTAGCAATTGATTTATTTTTCAATGTATCAGAAAATCGAAAATATCTCGCGCGACATTTTCTTAGATATCATAATATATCAATAGATACAATGTATTTGAATAGACTCTTTTGATATACAAGAATTTTTCATATTGATGTGAGTCGTGAGTTGTTTGATCTACATATATGTAAACGATATTATGGTGCTATAGTAACATTTGATAAATTCTAATTTATTATAGCCCTGAGTGAATTGCAATATTATCACAGCTATTGTCGAATACATGCATACATACATACATATATACATACATACATACATACATACATACATACATAAATATATACATACATACGTACGTACGTATGTATACTTTCGTATCGTCGAACTAATGAGTGCTTATAATTAAAAAAAAAAATAAATAATAATAATAATAATAGAACATTAATAATTATATCTCAGAAATTACTTAGGGCACAGTATTTTATTCTAATTTTTTCCAAAAAGAAAAGAAAAAAAGACAAAAAAAAAATATTAAAGTCCAACGAGGTGCCAAAAGAAAATATTTCGTAATTAAAATTAAAAAATAACGGTCTAGTAATTATGTTTAAATTGGCGATGCATTTACATATAAACACACATGCACACACATATTTACGCGCTATTTAAATTTACTATCCAATGTTTAGTAAAAGTGATGGTATATATATTTTTCTCTATCAATACGAGATTCATACTTTTTGTCCTATTTATATTTTTAGAGAATTAAGGAATTTTACACTCGACGATATCAAATTAAGAAAATAATTTTGTCAAATGAAAAGAAACTATACTTGTGTCGTCCATATTATAAGTAATTGAATCTTTTCTATTCTTCGCACGGAACCATCCATATTAAAAATCTTTGTAATGCTGAAAAATCGACTCAATTTAGTCAGAATGAATGAATTTTACTTTATTATTTTTCTATGCCATTATACTCTTTTCCTCATAATACCATATTATATCATATATTAATATAACTTAGATCTCTGTATCTCGATTGCTGCACAGCTTGTGTAAGAATTATATTTTCTCGTCAATGAAAACAACATTTCATTGTTTGTGTAGTATAAGCCTACTCTCACGGAAAATAAAGACTCGCATAAGCGTTTTTTGAATTCATATATAAAAAGCATTAAAAATAACAAAAAAAAATATAATAATAATAATAATAATAATAATAATAATAATAATAATAATAATAATAATAAAACACAGAAACTTTATCGGTCGACCTTGTGCTATGTCCAATAGTTATTTAAGTAATTCTATCATGTAGTAACATACCTTTATATCGATCTTATACCTTATATGTATATCATCTATAAAACCTTTTTACCAAATATGTAAATTGCATTTTCGAATCCAACCATTTTTACGTCATGTCACGTCACAGTTTATATATATATATATATATATATATATATATATATATATATATATATAATTTATGTAATAAATTTTAAACTACAGGAATCCTAATCACGCTTATTGCATCGACGAAAGGACCATAAAGTATGACGTGGATGTCTGCACGACCTTAACAAATAAAATAATGAATATATGTAGATGGTAATAAAATCATATCTCATGGTTCATTTCTTTCATTTTTATTTGTAATTAATTAATTAATTAATTTAATATATTTTTACCATTGAGAAACTTTCTAAACAAAATACGAATATTTTCCCTGCTGTTAGATTAGAAGGTTTGAGGCTCCTTTGAATAACTAACAATAACATTTTACGTACTGCCATTGGTGCATCGTACCATAATCCACTATATCTATAAAAATTTATAAGTTTATTATTTTGTTTAAATAATTTGTATATTTAAATAATTAAAATAATATTGATAATATTAAATAATAACATATATATATATTTTTTTTTTTGTATTAATATCAAGGATTAACAAATTTTATATGATAAAATAATTTTGTTTATAATATATAATTATATTAATTTATTATTTATTTATTTATTTCTTTATTATCGACAATAATATTACCATTAAACATTTAAAAGTTTCCTCATTCTTTGAATAGATGGCATTTGAAAACTACATTATCGACAGAAATTAAAAAATCGCTTACCATCAGAGATATAATAGTGAATAAATAATTATTATAATACACATATTATTAATAACATAATATATACAAAATAATATAATTTTTAACTCACGCTTTAAAACTAATGTCACTACTATGATCTATTAATCTTTGTCCGACAAAACTAATGCAATACATATGAAAAAGTTGGGCTCCTGTAAATGCAATAAATTTGAATACTTCTACTGATTTTCCCAACAATGCTGCCACCTATGATTTAAATACGAAAGAAAAAGGTGATCATATCTATTTTTTATAATTATTATTATTCTTTATTTACATTTATTTTTATTTCAATAATAAATACTAACACGCAAAAGAGAGACACTCAAACAAATTATATTCATTCCTGTTATTAATAATGATGGCAATGAAAAATATGATTCCATTAAATCAGCGAATCTTAAAAATTACAAAAGCAAAATTATAATTATTTGTTTACACATATTTTGTTTATTTGAGAATTTTTTTTTTCTTTTATACTAACTCCACAGCTCTTTTGTGAGCATTAATAAAACGTATAACATTTTGAGTACATTCTTTAGATCGATGATTCGAAGAAATTTTTTCCGTATTGTTTTCCTTCAACAAATGTTCTAAACGATATCTGAAAAGTACGACAAAATCTTTCTCCCATCTTTCATATGTTATATTACTCGCTCTTTTTATTGTAAATTAATTTACGAGATTAGAACATTTTTCTCTTACCCAACAGACGAGAACAAACCGCAAACGTGCGAAGTAAAAACCAGAAAAATAGCATCGTTTGCAAGAAAACATGTTATACCAATCATAATAACCGATGTCATATGGAAATAAATCGGATAAAAGTATTCTTGTGGATCAACAAAATATTCATTCATAAATACGTGTCTCAATGGACGAGATTCATTTATTGGAGAAATTAAATCAAAGATTTTTGGTAAAAATGATGTCAAAAAACTTAGAATCACTGTTGTGTAAATGTATACTAAACGAGAGAGAAAAAACTGAATATGTTTTATTATATATTCAATAATGTGATTAAGAAATCTTACTTATATATCCTATTATATAAAATCTTCCTTCTTTAGCATACTTTTCCAATATAGTAATCTCTTCTTTGGATTTCCACATTTTCCATTCGTCTTCAATCTTATTTAAAAGTTTTCTTATCTGTAAATATAATTTATTAATAATATTAAAATAAAATAATTTTTCACAGAAAAAAGAAACTTGTGGTGACAAAATGACGAAGTTGATTTGAATTTCTGAAATTACATTTGAGCACATTTAAAAAATTTTTTTTCAATATCAATCGATAAAAAATATTATTATTACTATTATATAATGATAGAACGATCAATTGACCTTATCACCAGCGAAATAACATGTGTGACACTTGATAGACATAGTTGTCATAAGTGCTATTCCTACGACAGCATCAGCTATGAAATCTAAAGCTCCTTTAGAAGTATACAACAATAAAAACTGCAAGAATAATAATAATAATCAACGAAATCAGTTGATCTATCAAACAAAATAAATTCATATTATATTATATTGATTTATAATATTATTATTATATATGTATGTGTGTGTGTGTGTGTATATATATATGCACTTACGATAAAGGATATTTATCATATTACAAGCTGACTTAAATTGACGTAAAAATTTATTTAAAATAAAATTAATAGTTTTATATATATATATATATATATATATATATAAAACTATATATATATTATATTATACTTACCTCAGTAGTAATAATAGAAGTAGTCAGAAGAGTAACAAAACACAATGAAAGTAAACGTACATTAGGATTTTGATTAGGCCACTGACCCACCATTAATAACAAAAGTTTACTAAGCCTATAGTAAGGATGATCGAAAAAATCCATAGGATTGTTAAAGAGGCGTGAAACATTCTGAACGAAAGAAGAATGTGAAAAGTAACTGGTAAGAACCAAACGTATTCTAATAAAATATTTAAACCCTCCTTTTTCTATCTTCTTAAAGAAATGTACATGAAGTTGATAAGTCATAAGTAAGACAGATATTTGCAAATTTAATGATTCTTCTCTTTTCTTTCTTACGTCTCATCATTTTCTTCAATGTGACATTTCTTTCTAAGTAGTTTTTAAAAAGTACGTTGTTAGAAACATGTAATTATAGTCGTATATAGAATAGTCAATAATAAATTATAGGCAAGTTTCTTATATGTCTTTTTCATTTTTCTCTTTTTCATTCTCTGGATGGATGGATTATGCTATTATTCTAGCATGGAATGAACTGTCAAATCGATCATTCTAACAATCTCTAATTAATGTATCTCACACAGGCGTATGAGAACGTTAGACAGCTTGTTCTCAAAGTTTCAGTGTTGTCTAAAAGCGTTACTTAGCATTCAGTTATAGAAAAATAACCGTTAAGAAACGTGCTGTATAATTGGTGATAAATAATTATTCAAAACTATTTTATTAGCTGCTCATCGTCATGCTAGAAATAAAATTTTGTTGTGAACTCTATTGGTGAAAGTATTTCCTAAAAAATGTCTAATATGAATATTAATACAAATGACAGTTCGTTCAATATCTTTCTCTTTTGTCTATTTTATATCTTTAACGCTATAATGTGACGTTGACAAAGTGATTTATATTAATTTATGATTTTTTATATTGATTAATGCATTTGAAGATATGCAACACTTCAGACACTGTCGATAATGTTATTACTACGAGCGCCATCTCTGAATAAGCAATTTTTTTAATCCCGTAGAATATGCAACCATCTCCTATAGATATGTATGACAGTGTTACATACTTTAAAGAGTAAAAGAAGTTTCTTACAGAAAGTGTTTATAGTCATTAATATTACCGGAGGATATTGCATATCTTCAGGCGTGATAATTTATATTGATTATTATAAATAATTATATAAAATCGATAAATAAATTTAATGAATAAAGTAATTGAAAATGATCAACAGTGAATCTTAAATGGTGTCTAAAAGTTGGTGAAACAATGACATGAGGTACCAACGTACATATATCGTTTATTTACACAAGGTAGTTCGCTCTTTTTCAATATTATCTTTCATCTTCCTCCTTTTCTCTTCATTTTCTTATACAATGACAATGCCATGTGAAAATGCGTGTGTTTGCGTGCATGAAAATTCCTGCGTGAGTAAATAATGTCAGCGCGCATGGGTTTTTTTTTTTTTTTCTCTAAAATCAAGTTATATCTCGCATTAAAATGTATATGTAATATGTATTTTATGTATGTATGTAGATATGTGTGGTCAATTTAGCGTTTGATAAAAAATTTTCTTTTTTCTTTTTTTGTTTCCTATTTTTAGTGAAGAAAGGCTAGATGAATGGATGATTATTTATAT